ACTAGTACAGCTGAACTGTACTAGAATAATAGACTGGGAAGACATTACTGAATTAATATGTTTATGGAACATGTAGGCATCAAGCAGATTTGGGTGACTAGATATGGAACAGAAGAACCGGGAGCCAAGAAAGAGATGGAGAGGTGCTATACAGTAGTCATTAGTAGCAACCACTCACACTAAAACACCTTCTGACTGCTGGGTATAGTGTCACCTGCGTGTCAGCATACCTAATACGTCAGGTATGTGAAGTAACCGTAATTGTTCCTATTTTATAAACTGGAAAACAATGCACAGATCTTTCTGTGGTTTACTCCAGGCCATGTGATTCCTGCAGAAAGCAGGATTCAGGCTTAGACAGTACAGCTGTAAATCCTTACTTAGTGCCAACCCAATAAAGAGACTGGACTCTGTCTTTGTCATTGATGTTCTGTGTGACTTCGGTTCTGTTAGTCAGCCCTTCTGTGCCATTGAACTCCTCATTAGCATAATGAGGACACCATTGACACCGATCTCAAAATTGTGTTTGACACAGAGTAACACTCAAAATCATTGTTTTAATTAAACCATAGAAGAAAAGATCTCTTGGGTAAGTGTGAGAAGATAAAACAGGGGCTGGGAGATGCTTCTGTGGTTGAGGAACTTACTGTTTGTGCACAAGTATGAGGAGCTGAGTCCATATCCCCAGAACTCATACAAATGCTGAGAGCACGCAGGAAACTGTAATTTCCCAGAGCAGGCTGGCTAGCAAGACTAGCTGTGTCAGCAAGTTTGGGTATTGGCTGAGTGACCTTGTCTTGATGAATAAAGTGGAAAAGCAAAGATCAAAAATGATTATGGAAATCGACCTCTGGCTTACTCCCCTACATGTCAGATACCTGCACACATATGAATGTGCATCCACACATGCAAGCAAGCATACACATAGATCCATGCTATAAACCCACATGAAATGGGAAAAGAACAATAGAAAGAAAATAGGAGAATCCATGATCTTTTAAGGGGCAGGGGAGATTTACTATCAAGTGTGAACATTCCCAAGGAGTAAAGTGAAGCTTCTAGGCATGGAGTTTTGGCCGAATCTTGACAACTTGTCCACAGCAGGGGGCAGAAGCATTTTACCATGTTCCTAGAAGCCACTGAAGTTATGGTAAAACAACACAATGGAAGCGAAGATATGAAATGTGAAGCCTGGTAGGTCATCCAAGACTAGGGTTCATCATAAACAATGAAAGTAAAGAGACTCTGCTTAGATGTTAGGAGGTAAATCTTGGAGTAGTTTCCTAAACAAATAAAAGAAGCTTTCTATCCCAGGATGTCAGAGGTGGATTTAAACCCACAGACAGATTCTGTTAGCTTGTAATCCACTGTTTCTCTTCCTCCTGTCTTTATGATTTCTATTGGCCCCCGAATACTGTTTCTATGCATGGTGCACATGGAGACTCCCTGTCTGTGTAACTTTCTCAGGAATCCTAGGCTGAAGTAGTGATAAAAGGTTTTCCCTCAAATTATTTTCTAAATGCTGAACGCTCTCCATTCCGCACAGGTTCCAGGTTTCTGGGTTTGGTTTTGTTGTCGTTATTGTTACTGTTTTTAAGGCAGATTCTCACTTATCCCAGGCTGGTCTAGAACTCACTATGAAGCCAAGGTTGAACTCTTTCTTGATCCTTCTGTGTCTATACACTTAGTGCTACAATTACAGATGTGAACTACCCAGCCTGTTATTGTGAATTGATGTAGATCTAAGCCAGGGCCACTCACATACATTCTACCAACTGAGCTATGGCCCCAGCCTCAGTTTTCTGTGCTCAACTTCAAAAGAACTGAGGATTCTTTGTTCACTCACCTGCCTATCCCTCTGAGAGATCAAGTGTGAAGAATGCATTTCTGACACTCTGTGTAAAGGAGGAGAAGGGATGACAAACGAAGAATTTACCAACACACACACTCACACACACACTAACACACACATTTAAATTTTAAAAATGATTAATATTTCATAACTAGAACATAGCTGAATCTGCAATGATGGTTTTGAAAAGTCGACTGTTTTCTAAAATACAGATTAGACAGTACACATTTATTTTTTGGTTAGAATTAAACTTTACAAAAATTTCTAAGTACATGTTGTATCTGCCTATAAAGACAATGTCAAATTAAAAGAAACCGTGAACTTAGAAGAGTCTTCAGAGTAAAGGCAGTGTGGGGCCTTTGAAGCTTAGAGGAAACAAAACCTGTAGGGAGCTTGAAGATCTTACCAGAGTCTGTGACTCTAAAGATGATCAATACTGTGAATGGTCACACAAGACATATGAAAGTTCAATAACCTCTAAAATTTAAAATAGCCTGACTTGGACTTAATTCAATCCTAATTAAAACCGCAAGTATAAACAATCAAAATGTGATGGAATGTTGCTTAAACGAATAGGTAAGAAAAGGCCTACATGTGTGCCTTGAATGTTTTCTTTCTGGTCCTATGACATGTTCATTTAAATATTCTAACCTAATTATGTATAGATTCCAAAGGCTAAATTTTGTGTTAAAATGAGTACTTTTTTCTGCATACATTTCCCGTTAGTGGTAGATCTAATTAAGTATCAAATTCTCTTGCATGGGGAAGGGCTAAATGATTCGTTTGGGTGGATTTGATTGTTAAGGTAAATATAGTACATGAAAATTAATCTTAAACTAGATTCAAAATTCAAGTTTCCACAGCCTACACTTTACTCTCTATCTCAAAAGTTAACTTTGGGCGTACTTCAGATTGTCTGGGGAACGTTTAAAAATACCGTTTACTGAATCCCACCCAAGGCAATTAAATTGGAATCTCTGTAGGCGGAGGCTGAGTATTTCTCAGAATCTCCCCAGTGATTCCAGGGAACACATAGACCGAAATCTTGTACGTAGGGGTGTGGCAGTGCCAGGGATGGTGGAATGGTGACCAAAGCTACTGCATTCATTTATTTTTCTTCAGCATTATGAAACATTCTAGGGTATGCAGATAAATAGCACAAAGTTCTCATTCTCTGGATGCTGAGACTGTAATATTGGGTGAAAGGCTGAGGGACACACTGTCTTTAAAGATGTAGAATAATGGGGGATGAGATGTCTCAATGGGTAATGGCAATTGCCACCAAGCCTGAGGACCCGAGTTCCATGCCCAGAATCCACATGGTGCAAAGAGAGAACTGACTCATTCAAATTGTCTTCTTCTCAGCATATATACACTATAGCACACCACACACAATAACAAATAAAGATAAATTAACAAATAAATGTTAAAAAAAAATTAAAAAAAAAAAACAAGATGTAGAATCCAAAGAAAGTAGGCTAGGCAAGTATATTTGGCTACATGATTGAAATGTTTAACATAGTTGAGAAATCTTACTAAAAGTCATTGAGGGTTATGGACAGAAACAGGTTTTTCAAAATGGATGTAAGTTGGCTTAGAGAAAAATTTCATATTTTAGTTTCAAGTTGAATTAAAGATTAATGGCGAGAGAGAGAGAGAGAGAGAGAGAGAGAGAGAGAGAGAGAGAGAGAGAGAGAGAATATTCAGAGGAGAGAGCAGACACCAAAATAAAGCTGAAGCAAAATTCGGAACATTTAAAAATGCAAACCCTATGGTGATATGTCCATGGATTAAGGATTGCTTTAGTACATTTTTAGCAATCTAAGTGAAATACTTGAAGTGACTAATGGCATGGTGTTTTCCTTTCTTAAGAAATGTTGACTGGCTCATGGTTTAAGAGCATGCTTAAGGCTGTGGGGGAAGGAGAGGATCCTTCTGCTCATAGCTGCATCGCGGCAAATGACAGTGAGGAAGGAGGTTGTGTGTGGAAGAAGGAATTCACCCCATCACAGGGAAAGCCAGGCAGTCTGAGTAGGGTCAACTTCAAACCTGTAAAATAACCTACTTTTTTTTTTTTTTTTTTTT